TCATACAGGTGCACAGGTACTTAAATGCAAAATGGGGAAGTCTCTGGACGTTAGTCCTTCTCTTGTTCTTCTCGTTGATTGACAGGTGACCCTCACTGTCATCCAAGCTGAAAAGATAGACAGGTTACCCACTGCTTAAATAATCACTCTCCATGGCAGTGTACAATACTCAAAAGACGTGGTGATTATTACAACAGTCAACCTAGAGCAAGACTGAAAGGACTAAGTTTATTATTGGTCAAAAGTGAAGCTTTTAACCAATAAATTCACTAGAATACAAGGCAGGCATGTACTTACAGTAGTGTTGGGAGCTGTGAGTCTAGTGATTACTGTTTGACCAGAGCCCCACACGTCACCTTTCGGGGGGGGGGGGAAGAGGGAGGGGAAGGGATAGCGGGAGCTAGACTGACCCTACCTTAACAAGCAGCCGGCAGTCAAACTATCACTTTCAGGGAGGGGGAAAAAAGGCAGGAAAAACGGGAGCTTGACTTGCCCTACCTTAACTAGTAGCCGGCAATGAAACTATTGTTACTATATCGCTACTCCTATCTATTGAACTTTTCCCTCACACTCTCACTCCAGTATGTTATGGCAGCGTGCAGATTTGGGACCAGACCCCAGAGTACTTTCCAAGTATACATTATCATGTATTTCTCTCTGCTCCAATGAGCGCTGAACCACTAACTACAATCCACACGTTAATGAATATTGGACGGTTGCCATTCAGAGATGGCAACCTGTTGGAGTTCTACATCAAAGTAACATAAGTGAGACAGGAGAGAGATAGAGTGAGAGGGTTTGGTGCGTTGCATTTTCTTAGACTACAAGAATACATTTGATACTATACCCCACATGAGACAGAGGCAAAAACTTGAGATGCAGGCAAACACAACTGAGAACTTACTATTGTCAATCAAAGAGTGCCTTAGGGAAAGGAGTGATTGTCTGGGGAGACATGTGAGAATGGGGAAGAGTAACAAGTGGGATACCACAAGGATCAGTATTAGGACCAGTACTGTTTCTGGTTTATGTGAATGACAACAGATAGGATTGAGTCAGATGTATCTCTGTTCACTAATGATGTCAAACCAATGAGGAGAACACAAACAAATGAGAACAGGGAAAGACTGCAAATGGATCTGAACAAACTGCAAGGTTGGTCAAATCAGTGGTTGCTTGAATTCAACCCCAACAACGGATATGAAGACCAGATGACCAGACGCAGAGTATAGACTTGAGAGAGAAGGGCCTGGAAGCACAATGCCTAGCATATCCCTAGATAACAAAAAGAAACAATTCTGTGACTTTAACAATATAGAAATAACCCACACATAGAAGAGGGGAGCTTATGAAAATGTTTTGGTCTGACTTGGACCATTTACAAAGTCGACTTTGTAAATGGTCCAAGTCAGACCAAAACATCGTTGTAAGCTCCCCTCTCCTATGTGTGGGTTATTTGTGTATATCCCTAGATGCTTACATCAACTGAATAGCCTCTGCAGCCAGGGATCAAAATAAATGGTATCAAATACCGACACAGTGGAAATATAAACACATATGCAGTATAATGTGATCCTTTATTGACAACGTTTCACCCACACAGTGGGCTTTTTCAAGTCACACGCAGATCTACCTGGGGTGGAAGGTACGGGAGTATTTATAGTCATGTTCAGAATGTTGAGGTCAGGTGGAGAATGCTGCATCTGATGATCTACCGGGTGGAGTTATAGAGTCTTGGGTAGCTTGGCAGGGGTATTGGACAAGTTGTGAGTAGACCTTCACATAAGAACATAGAACACTACAGAAGGTCTACTCACAACTTGTCCAATACCCCTGCCAAGCTACCCAAGACTCTATAACTCCACCCGGTAGATCATCAGATGCAGCATTCTCCACCTGACCTCAACATTCTGAACATGACTATAAATACTCCCGTACCTTCCACCCCAGGTAGATCTGTGTGTGACTTGAAAAAGCCCACTGTGTGGGTGAAACGTTGTCAATAAAGGATCACATTATACTGCATATGTGTTTATATTTCCACAGCCTGGGATCACCTGACAAATCTGAGAGTGGTCTTCAGAAATCTCAACAGAGTCATTCCAGGCACTTTATACGACGTATGTCAGGCCTATCTTAGAGTAGGCATCACCAGCATGGAACCCACACCTGAGGAAGCAGCTTAAGGAACTCAAGAGCATAAATATGCAACAAGACTAATTCCAGAGCTAAGAGGTATGAGCTATGATGGGAGGATAAAGGAATTGAATCTAATGACCCTGGAGGACAGAAGGACCAGTCGAGACAGTAATGGACAGAAGGACCAGCGAAGACAGTAATGGACAGAAGGACCAGGGGAGACAGTAATGAACAGGAGGACTAGGGAAGACATGGCAAACACATATAAAATGATCAAGAGGAATTGAGAGAGCAGACAGGGGCAGGCTGCTTAAGAGGTGCAAAACAGGTACTTGGGAGTTCAGCTGGAAGTTAAAGACATATATGAGTCACAAGGATGTCAGGAAATATTTCAGTCTCAGGGTGGTCAGGAAGTGGAAAAAGTTGGGGAAAAAGTTCTCCACTCCTTTATTTATGAACCGATTACATTCATTTTTGGTGTACTATTAGAAGCTTATATTAAAGAGCCTTTGCTGAAGTTTCAATCATATCGGCCAAAAAGGAAATGAAATATGCAAAATTTACGAAAAATTACATTTGGCAGTACTCAAGTACTCAGTGGTACTTGGAAAAGTGGTTTTGACACTTGCTGCTGATAGAACACTTCTAATTCCATCATATTTGAAGCCCCAATTATATAATAAATCTTACGTTCATGCTAAAAAAAATAAAGTTTCATAACACTTTTTTGACATTTTGGAAGATGTCGGTCTTGTTGCCCACACAAATCTGAAAATATTTGGGATACTTCAGAAACGTTTCTGACATTTTGTAAAGCAATCATTCTTCTATGTTTGTTGTGAAAATCAAGTCAATTCATTCATAAATAAGGATGGAGAATCCATAAATAGGTAAATAACTTACTTTCGAGATATAGGCCGAAGCGCGCGGCACCCCAGGTGCCCGGGACATATTTTTTTTCCCCAAAAAATTCGCTTTATTTTACACTTTTTCCGTGACCTACGAGTGTTTATTACAGTTAACCATTGTAAATCTCCGTTTTCTCTCATCACTGATGAGAGAACGGACCCTTTCTTCACCTTCAGGGCAAATATCGATATTATTATTATTATAATCAAAAAGAAGCGCTAAGCCACAAGGGCGCAAATATCGATAGAAATTTTTTCCTTGGGGCATCATATTATGCTATATATATTATTTATTTTAAGGTGTACTTTTTATGTTTATTATGCTATTTTATATTGCATTATGTCATAATAGATCAATTGTGATAGATAAATAAGCCTTATAATTGATATTAGCGTGGGTATGGAATATTTTGTTGGCTGGAGGTGTCGGCCATTTTATGCAATATTCCCAGGTGTTCCCGATTGGTTCCTTGTCATATTATCTCGCCCACTCTGCCATGATCTCAGATGGTGAATTTGTATTATATTAGACAAAAGATATAAGAAAAGGATAAAAATAACACGGGGAAAAAACGTAAACAAAACCGAGTCAGCGCTTCTTACGCAATATGTCGCGTCAGCGCTGTCACCATGCCTGTTATAAATGGCTGTAATTCCTTTTAGAAACATCGTACAAGGATAATAATTATACCAGAGTGTAGCCAGAAAGTTCAGCTATTTTTTGGTAACAATAACTCAATTTTCATATTTCTTCGAGTGTTTTCTCTATCCACGCTCCGAAACCTTCAACTCCCCCAAGGAGGGGTTTAGGATATTGGCAGTTTGGAGGGACGTCTAAACTGTCGTATATGAGCGCCTCTGCAAAGACAGTGATTATGTATGAGTGATGGTGAAAGTGTTGAATGATGATGAAAGTCTTTTCTTTCATTTTGGATTTTTCTTTCTTTTTGGGTCACCTTGTCTCAGTGGGGAGTGGCCAACATGTTGGAAAAAAATAAAAGGAAAATCATACACCCAGTAAAGAAATTGATGGATGTGTGTGTGTGTGGCTCCTTATTTTTTTTAGGTCACCTTACTTCTGTAGGAGACAGCTGCTTTGCTAAAAAACTACATATATATTTAAACAGTATATGTCTGTGCCTACTTTCGTTTTGCCTTTTGGGCCTCCTTGCCTCAATGGGATACGGCTGGTTTGTTGAAAGAAAGAAGAAAGATGTATGTGCCTGCATTCTGAAAGAGAGTTGGGGATGTTTCAGTAGGAGTACTGTGGAGAGGATTTTGGGGGTCAATGCCCCTGCAGCTTGGTCTGAGACCAGGCCTCATGGTGGATCAGGGGCTGATTGTCCAGCCTGTTACTGCTGGCCACACGCAAACTGATGTACGAACCACAGCTCGGTTGGTCAGGTACTGACTTTAGGTGCCTGTCCAGTGCCTTCTTGAGGACAGCCAAGGGTCTGACTGTGATGTCTACACACTTCTAGAAAGATAGTGTTTGAGTGAATGTTGGTGAATGTGGTTTCCTCTTGGTCACTCTGCTTTAGTGGGAGAGAGCCATTCGGTTAAAAATATATGCATGTACATTCTCACCTATATGTGATTGCAGGGGTCAAGTCTTAGCTCTCAGCCCCACACCTTAATATGCCACTTTCCAAATTCACTTCTAGCCTAATTGGCCCTATTATACCTATTCTTAAAACTGTATGGAGTCTCCCTTCACTTCTTCATTAAAGTGCAAGCATTGTACTGTCCACTTCCAGGACTCAAGTCCGGCTAACTGGAAAAATTAGTTAACCTTGCCAGGAGTTGAGCCTGGCATCTTCTGACCATAGTCAGATGTGTTATCCATTTCCTTTTCTCAGTTTAAAATTCTTTAATAGGCTGCCCTCTGTAACTTTCTGAAATCTTGAAATCAACCTCAAGCATTAAATAAGGGATGACTATGCATACTCAGAATTACGAATAAAGATTTATTACAAAAATTATTACATAATCAATTGCGTTTATTATGTAACTCATCCAAGACATGCAGCATAAAAAATATATATAAAAAATTAGCACGAGAAGACAAAAAAAAAAAATACCCGTATGTAAGCTGAATTTCCGCTAAAATATTTAAGTTGGGCAAATAAAATATTTATTATAATAGTTTTGTATTTTGCGTTACAGCTGAAGATGAATGAGCTACAAGTAATCTAGACTCTATTCCACCAAATATTTTAATTTCTGGTCGGCAAAACTAATTCCGACATCCAGCGAGCGGATCTCTTTTCTCTTGCGACGCACACAGATGATCCCTTCCACACTCTCACCTGTAACACCAAAAAGCAAACACATTAGCATTGGTAGAAAGAATAACAAGGGGCTTGGACATCTAGCAGGCATGTGTGAGTGTGTTAGCTAGGGGTGGAGATACAGTAAATGGTTTTTGGTAACTGACAAGCTGTTAGAGTGTGAGCAGGTCTATATTTTGTGAAGGGATTTGGGGAAAACAGTTAGCCAGACTTGAATCCTGGAGTTGGGAGGTACAGTGCCTGCACTCTAAAGGAGGGGTTTGGGACATTTGCTATTTAGAGATGTCTAAACTATTGTATCTTTGCACCTCTGGCAAGACAGTGATAGTTTCTTTTTCAGGTAACACTACCTCAGTGGGAGACAGCCAGAGAGTTAAAAAAAAAAATGTGATCCCCACTTAACAATCATTTACAAAACCTTTTATATAGAAAAAGCACATGTCACCGGACTAGTTTTTTTTTTTTTTTGCACTGTGTAGAGCTTTATTAAACAGAAACACTGCCCTAATAAAAACTTCTTTGATTCATGAAAAAAGGATCATAGCATTAATTTCTTGGATTAAAAGGCAAAAAAGGTTCCATTTAAAAATGTCTATAAATATGCACAGCATTTTGGACAGATTTATAGCACAGTAATCAATGTTCCAAAGCTTTCTATTAATATATTTTATGTTTGTACTTCCCATGTCCAGAAATCGAAACTGGCAGGCCGGACTTAATTTCTGGAGATGGGAAATAGTGTCTGCACTCTGAAGGAGAGGTGTTAATGTTGCAGTTTTATAACTGTAGTGTAAGCACGCCTCTGGCAAGACAGCGATGGAGCGAATGATGATGAAAATTTCTTTTTCAGGCCACCCTACCTTGGTGGGAAACGGCCGATGTGTTAATAAAAAAAGAAAAAAACCCACCAGGAACTCACTCATGATGTGACTATACACAGATTTTTTTGCCAAAAATACTGAAATTGTTAAAAGTTAAAAATATTGGCAAATGTAAATTTTTTTTTTCAACAAGTCAGCCGCCTCCCACCGAGGCAGGGTGACCCAAAAAGAAAAAACTTTCACCCTCATTCAACACTTTCACCTCACTCACACATTATCACTGTCTTTGCAGAGGTGCCCAGATACAACAGTTTAGAAGCATATATAGAGATATATAACATATCCCTCCAAAATGCCAATATCCCAAACCCCTCCTTTAAAGTGCAGGCATTGTACTTCCCATTTCCGGTACTCCAGTCCAGCTATATAAAAATAACTGTAAATTCTTTATTTCCACATGATACATAGTTTCTAAAAATTGGATGACATCTAATAGTATGCATAAAGAAACAGGTGATATCACAATATGAAAAATAACCACAGTGAAAAAATGGTGAAATTCCAAGAGTTTTCATGATTTCTCACATTATCAAGAAATAGTGAAAATGTGAAAAATCATGAAAGTACTTGGAATTTCCCTATTTTTTCATTGTGGTTATTTTGCATCTAACAGTAACTGTGGCATACCCCTGGTTATGCAGCATTCTATAATTTAACAAACCCTGATTCAATGCACCTCAATATAACAGACTTATGAAATACGGGACAAAATTCACTGGGTCAGAGTATTTCTAAACAACGGACAAAGTCCATTATTTACAAAACTGTCTGTTACTGTTATGCTCAAGTCAAAACAATCGCTGATTAAGCTGATGAAACACAAAAAATCCATTAAGACAACAAGTATATGTATATGGCAAACAACTTCAAGCAAAACCGATGGCACAAAAGAGAACATTATACCTGCAAAAGAGTGAGATCAAGGGCAGTTGATTAAGCATAAAAATTGATTAAGACTACAGCCTCACCTCACTTAATGACAGAGTTCCGTTCCTAAGACCACGTCGTTAAACGAATTCACCGCTAAGCGAGCATACTATAATGGTACAGTGGACCCTCGGGTAACGGCATTAATCTGTTCCAGAGAGCTTGCCTTTAACCGATTTTGCAGTTAGCCGAATTAATTTTCCCCATAGAAATAATGGAAATCCAATTAATCCGTTCCAGACACCCAAAAGTATTAAACAAAATAATTTTTTTTACATGAAATATACATTTCCCTACACAGAAAATAATGAGACAGGCACAATAAGATAAGATAAAATTTTGTTCGGATTTTTAACCCCAGAGGGTTAGCCACCCAGGATAACCCAAGAAAGCCAATGCGCCGTCGAGGACTGTCTAACTTATTTCCATTGGGGTCCTTAATCTTGTCCCCCAGGATGCGACCCACACCAGTCGACTAACACCCAGGTACCTATTTGCTGCTAGGTGAACAGGACAAGAAGTGTAAGGAAACGTGTCAAAATGTTTCCACCCGCCGGGAATCGAACCCGGGCCCTCCATGTGTGAAGCGGGAGCTTTAGCCACCAGGCCACCGGGCCACCCAAGAAAAACCAAGAAAACAATACTGAAATGACACTTACCTTTATTGAGGACTTATTGATGAGTGACGAGATGGGAGGAAGGGAGATGATGGAGGTGTACTATTGTTTGGAAGGGAATCCCTTCCACAAAGACTTCAGGTAACAAGTCCTTTTCTGGGGTTACCTCCCTTCTTTGTTTTTTAATGCCACTAGGACCAGCTTGAGAGTCACTGGACCCCTGTTGCACAAAGTATCTGTCCAGAGAGCTATTTTTCTGGCATCTCTTTAAGATTTCCCTAAAATGGGACACAAGAGTGTCATTGTACATGTTGCCAATACGGCTTGCAACAGCTGTATCAGGATAATGTTCATCCATAAATGCTTGCACCTTTATCCACAATGTACAAATGTCCTTAATCTTTGATGAAGGCAACTTCCTCCATCTCTCTTCCTCCTCCTCTGAAGCAAATTCCTGAGCTGTGATCTGTTGCTGTTGCACATGAAGCTCTTGCAGCTCTGTAGTGGTTAGCTCTGCATCGTCATTTTCCACCAACTTTTCCACATCCTCACCACTAACCTCCAACCCCATGGACTTCCCCAATGCCACAACAGATTCCACAACTGGCATAGGCTCCTCAGGGTTAGCCCCAAACCCTTCAAAATCCCTCTCTGTACACATTCTGGCCACAATTTTCTCCAAGCAGAGTTCCAAGTCCTACAAGTCACTCCCTCCCAAGTCTTACCTATAAGGTTTATGCAAATGAGGATACTGAAGTGGTCTTTCCAGAACTCTCTTAAGGGCAATTCAGTGTCTGAGGTCACTTCAAAGCACTTTTGAAACACTGCTTTGGTGTACAGTTTTTTGAAGTTTGAAATGACCTGCTGGTCCATGGGCTGGAGGAGAGGAGTGGTATTAGCAGGCAAAAACTTCACTTTGATGAAGCTTAACTCCCCCACAATTTGCTCCTCCAAGTCTTGAGAATGAGCAGGAGCATATTCCATTACCAGGTGGCACTTGAGTGGCAATTTATTTTCCAGGAAGTATTTTTTCACACTGGGGGCCAAACATGTCATAGAACCAATCGAAGAAAATATCCTTAGTGACCCATGCCTTACTGTTTGCTCTCCACATCACACACAATTTAGCCTTGACAACATTGTTTTTCTTGAACACTCTGGGAGTTTCAGAGTGATACACAAGTAAAGGCTTCACTTTGCAATCCTCACTAGCATTACTACAAAACATGAGAGTTAGCCTGTCTTTCATAGGCTTGTGTCCTGGGAGTGCCTTTTCCTCCTGAGTAATGTAGGTCCTGTTTGGCATTTTCTTCCAAAACAGGAGGCCTGTTTCATCACAATTGAACACTTGTTGGGGTTTTAATTTTTCAGTCTCTATGTACCCCTTAAAGTCCTGCACATATTTTTCAGCCGCTTTTTGGTCAGAACTGGCAGCCTCACCACGCCTTTCACACTGTGTATGCCACTACGATTCTTAAATCTCTTAAACCAGTCTTTGCTGGCCTTAAATTCACTAACATCAGCACTAGTTTCAGGCATTTTCTTTATCAGATCATCATGCAACTGCCTTGCCTTTTCACGTATTATTTTTTTTTTATTTTTTTTTTATTATCACACTGGCCGATTCCCACCAAGGCAGGGTGGCCCGAAAAAGAAAAACTTTCACCATCATTCACTCCATCACTGTCTTGCCAGAAGGGTGCTTTACACTACAGTTTTTAAACTGCAACATTAACACCCCTCCTTCAGAGTGTAGACACTGTACTTCCCATCTCCAGGACTCAAGTCCAGCCTGCCGGTTTCCCTGAACCCCTTCATAAATGTTACTTTGCTCACACTCCAACAGCATGTCAAGTATTAAAAACCATTTGTCTCCATTCACTCCTATCAAACACACTCACGCATGCCTGCTGGAAGTCCAAGCCCCTCGCATACAAAACCTCCTTTACCCCCTCCCTCCAACCTTTCCTAGGCCGACCCCTACCCCGCCTCCTTCCACTACAGACTGATACACTCTTGAAGTCACTCTGTTTCGCTCCATTCTCTCCACATGTCCGAACCACCTCAACAACCCTTCCTCAGCCCTCTGGACAACAGTTTTGGTAATCCCGCACCTCCTCCTAGCTTCCAAACTACGAATTCTCTGCATTATATTCACACCACACATTGCCCTCAGACATGACATCTCCACTGCCTCCAGCCTTCTCCTCGCTGCAACATTCATCACCCATGCTTTCACACCCATATAAGAGCGTTGGTAAAACTATACTCTCATACATTCCCCTCTTTCCCTCCAAGGACAAAGTTCTTTGTCTCCACAGACTCCTAAGTGCACCACTCACCCTTTTCCCCTCATCAATTCTATGATTCACCTCATCTTTCATAGACCCATCCGCTGACACGTCCACTCCCAAATATCTGAATACATTCACCTCCCCATACTCTTTCCCTCCAATCTGATATCCAATCCTTCATCACCTAATCTTTTTGTTATCCTCATAACCTTACTCTTTCCTGTATTCACTTTTAATTTTCTCCTTTTGCACACCCTACCAAATTCATCCACCAATCTCTGCAACTTCTCTTCAGAATCTCCCAAGAGCACAGTGTCATCAGCAAAGAGCAACTGTGACAACTCCCACTTTATGTGTGATTCTTTATCTTTAACTCCACGCTCTTGC